TGATGATGGTGGTGGTGGTGGTGGTGGTGATGGTGGCTATAACGATGATTAGAAAAACAAACTTGAAAAAAAAAAATATATATATATATATATAAACCTGTGTTATACCTGTACATGGACATATACTTTCAAATCTTCTTTTTTCTTCGCGTTTACCGACTGTAAACTCTGACGTAAAGTTCTGGTTATTCGTCCAATTCTGAAATTTGGTCTTGTTCCAGCACTTGAGTTTTAGAGATGTGACTAACTTGTGTGCAGTTGTAGAGATGTGACTAACTTGTGTGCAGTTGTAGAGATGTGACTTACTTGTGTGCAGTTTCTGTCTCTGCTCTCGGGCGGATGCACTACGACTTGGAAGGAAACATCGCTAATTAGTCGACTTTTATGACTAGCTATTAAGGGAATAGTGGGTCTACTGGGTTGTTGTTTTTTTCTCTTCAAAAGTCACACGGGAAATATGTTTAAATCATAAATATTCTTTTGAGAAGCAATTCGAAGTAGAAGTTTCTTGGAAACCCAAACTTCACTTTCTCCCATCAATAAGAAAGGACTTCCCCAAAGGATTCCACAAATAGTTGGCAGCGTTAAAGAGGGAAGTGTCACATGCCATGGCAGCGTTAAAGAGGGAAGTGCCAAATGCCAACCTAGATCTTATAACGATGTCGAGACGAGAGTCAACTACAGACATAGGGAGTCATTAATTGATTATTGGGGAAGATTAACGTAGACGGTAAATACTGTATATTGTTCAGATGTTAGTTTTTAAACTGCAGGACAGAAACCTGCCATTTCTCATCATTATCGAGTTTGTTTTCTTCTTTTTCAAACTTACGAGTTTTTAAGGTTAACTGTTGCAAATATCCCCCACCTACATGCTGTTACCCCAAGTGATTCTTGTTCGGTCTGTGTAAACACTATATCTCCACGGTCTTCTTTGTATTCCCAGTGGTCTGCTCAAATTCAACTCTTTCGTGTAAGCAATTTTAGTTTGTCTGTTATCTTCCACTCTGTCTAAAATGCTAGACCTTTGCAATCTACCGGCCTTCGTGATCATCAATCTGTACTCTCTTACAGAACATCGCTCTCTTCACGACACGTATGACAGTATCATTATTTAGCCAGTCATCCAGCCTTATGTGCTCTCATAACCAATGCATCTTCAATGTTTTGTATCCACATTCTTAAAGGCTGTCCTCTGCCTCGTTTATGGGAAACTGCGCCCCCTATCGCCGTTCTCTTCAGGCCACCATGACCAAAATACACCAGCTTTCAGGACAGGATGCTGTTTGTGAGCCAATTCTCCTCTGTCTACAGATCATGTAGAATGTCGACTTTTTCTTCTTCCTGGTCTTCTAAAAATTATCTTATGATACCAGTAATTACAAGTGATTTTAACAGATTGATTGCAAATGTCTTTCAAAACATCTGATTATGTATTATAGACATCACCCAATTCGCAATAAAGCAGCAGAACCTGGCTGCAGCTTTCTTACCCCATAGATCTTTACTGTGAGTCCATTTTCAACACAGCACTTATCACACCAGATTCTGTTGAGGCATTTGGGTTAGTGTGTTTGACCGTCGCGACAGTGGTCCCGGTTCAATCCCTAGAATTCTTACAATTTGTCTGACCAGCATTGTGTACAGTTTTGAAAATTGTACCAGAAAATGCTATGAGAAGAAAAGGGGGTCAGCGTGATCACCCACACAACACACGGAGTGCCATTCTCTAGTCACTTGGGTAAAGTTTCGACAGCATAGTGTTAAGAACAAGACAATATAAGATCCATCTCTCTCCTTAACAACCAGCGAAGTGTCTCCTTATTGATCGTATCCTTTGTCATCTCGTTAACTAGTATCTTACTGAATGACTTGTGAAAATGTAGGTATGTGTCCAGTTACCAAGGGGCATCTGTGACCAGAGAAGCGCGCCCCCCCCCCCCCCCCGTTCGTCATCGTCGTAAACCACTTCTGCCGTGGAGAGAAATTTTTTGCTCCCCACTTTGAATTACGTTTTTCTACTTGGGCGGCCTCAACGGCTGACTGGCATTTGTGTATATTTGTTACAGGCTGAATCATCTTTTCTGACACTAGTTAAGTTACTTATTAGTTGGACAATGTGGCTTGGCAGTTTCAATTCACAACAGCATCTGCTGGTTTTCTACCGTTAGTCTCAGTTATGTGGTTGGTAGTCATCTATTTCATTATGAGAAACGTATCGCCGCAGCTGCCAACAGCGTATCTACAGATCTTATATGTGCTCATTTATTTTTGGCGCATTCTATTTCGGGTTACATAGAACAGATGTTATACTTGTGGATAGACGGACCAGTAGAGAGACAAACATAGTGCGTTGAAGGAATACGCTGATTCATGCTCTTTCTCTCTCTCTCTCTCACACACACTCACTCTCTCGTTTTGCAGAAGAGAGCATCTTATTTTCAACAACAGCAACAAAATACGGGAGATAAGGAAATGTTTGAGACTAACTAGAAGGGCCGAAAGCGACATAAGTGAAAGGATAGAACATGAGTCTGGCGGAGCATAACACTGTCACCAGTAGCCTATAATAAACGCAATCGGCAAATGGGCCCACTTCTGGAGTCACCTGTAGCCTGCAACAGCAATTAGCGCTGTATAAGTCAGGCTAACCTGATGCAAAGCAGTCAAAGTGTACTATTATCAAAAGACCCGCACGGTAAAATAAACAGACATCGGCAATGACCAACCCTGTTGACCAACCCTGTAAAATATAAGCACCGAAATAACATTGGTCAGATAGGAGTATTTGGATCCCACCGTCTCGTCTCTAAAAACTACACACATAATACAGAGTGCGAGCTCCATTGCAGTCAACTTCCCTTGTGGAGCTGGTCCCCTGGCTGATTGAATGTAAAGACGCAGACAAACCTTGTTCGAACTAACGCCACATCTGTCAGCCGGCTATAAACCTGTCTGTCAAAATGCAACACTATTCCCAGTGCAAAAGATCATGAGCCCTGCTAACATACAAAACACTTATTAAACCTCGGGGTTGAAACTGATCGATCCATCCACGTCCGTCAAAAGAGTACCTGATGGCAGTGTGCAATAATGTATTTCAATAAAGTGTTCTGAAGATTGTGGAGGTTGAAAGGAAAAAGCCAGGTATCGGATCCACCCCACCCTCTTTTTTCCCCCGCACTTTTTTTTCCCCTTTGCTTTTTAAAACAAATTAACAAGCAGAACGTTGTATTTTTCACTGCTGCGTTTAGTAACACTTACAATACTTACTATAAAAAACACTTACTATAAAAACATTACCTTGCTGATTGAATTTAAGTACCTACGGAGCAGTGTCTTTCAAATCAATTTCTCTCTTTCTCTCTTTTTCTCTCTCTCTCTCTCTCTCTCTCTCTCTCTCTCTCTCTCTCTCTCTCTCTCTCTCTCTCACACACACACACAACCTCACTCTATCGTGCAACACTGTCTTGCACACTGTCATATAACACTGTATTGAATTATGTCTGGTTTAAGTCCTAAAGGGCAAAAGATAAAATGGTTTGGCCATCTGACGAAAATGTCCTGGTACCAGCTTTCTTAAAAAAAGCCACGCTGATGAAATATAAAGAACACAAAGCAGAGAGAAGACCACGAAAAAGATGAAATAGTGGCAACAAAAGTAGCCTTACAGAAATGAAGATCCACTTAAGCACTACAATAGAAAGACCATAAAGACACCCCCCCCCCCCACTTTTTCTCCCACACACACTTTACCATGAGGTAAAAGGAACAATAGACGCACAAAAAAGGGTGGGGGGGGGGAGAGAGAAGTAGAGTAGAAAGTCCCTTCGTTGCCTGAAACCATCTGAACTCTGGACACAAGCTAAACCGTAAACAAGGGCAGCGCACATGGAATTCTCAAAATGCTGACCAATGGCAGAGTGCGACGATCTACTGAATCCGCAATTATTCGTTACTTGCCTTACGTCCACAATTATGTAAACAGAAAGATACAGTAGTGAATATGCGCTTGCCCTGATAAAACAGGCACTTAGTTTTGAAAGTGGCTGAATATATATATTCCAGTTGTTAGGGATTTATTTTTTTGTTTTATTTTAATTAATATGTACTGTAGTATGCATCTGGTGAGACACAGTCAGGTAATATACTTTGTAGTCTATTGTGTGTGTCTTCTTTGTTTAACTTCACAACAGGAAAACATCCTTTAATTATTATTATCATGCTCTAAAACCAAGACGATTAGGCCCCTAAAGCGTCCGCCAACACCGCCCCGCCCCCTTTTTGTGAAAATGTATACGGCAGACCCTCCGCTGCCCCCTTCGCTTGAAAAAAAAGGGGGGGGGTTGGTTCTCTGAGTGTCGGCACTCCTGAGAGCAATGATAACGATAGATGGAGCGAACAGCAGGCTCATACAATACTTAACAAGTAAAAAGACAGTGAGTGTTCATTTCTGCCTTACTTGGCTCCCAGCTCGACAAGCCTTGAGTGGGTAGCAGATGCAATCCTGGAAAGTAAAGGCGGCCAAAGTGATGTTGACCACATCACCCACCAAGTGCCCAATGTTCTATAAAACACAGGCCTAGCCCTATATAAATGGAATCAGCCTGAAGGCTTGGAAAAAGGTCCCTTTAACTTCACTTTACTTCATTTCTCCTTGCCCGCAGACGGCGGCAGGTTACACCAGGCTTTTGTAACCCTTACGGGTGCCGTAATTACAACTTCTTTGGAGGTTGAATGGAGTATCTGGGATCTTACATGTTGGTTTGCTGTCCAGGCTGAGATTATTTTATATCAGGATGGTTTGCTTAACCTTCATGCATCAGCCCAGAGGGGACAAACTGATCGATCGATAGTAAGTGCTGGAGAACACTAAAGCCATCCAGCATTTGAAGGCGACAGCTAACAGTCAAACATACCGGAAACAACAAACAACTATCGCAAATTATAATATTTCACAACGATACGCAGCTATAACAGAAAAAAAAAACATTAATCACCTTTGACAGAATGACCCCGTTGACTGTGGGTATATGATCGTGACGCACTCGAGGAAACCCTGCCACCTGGTGGTGCAAGCCACCTTTCACGAGCATCTTGATCAACATGGGTGTAGGTGGATTCTGCCAGCTGGGCTCAAGCGTTGCGATTGTGTTCGTTTTATTGTTGCAGTTGTCGCTAACTTGCTAGGTGTGCTATACACATGTCGATGTGCTAAAATTGTGTCTAATTGTCACAAACTTCATAGGAACTGCTGTAGACGCGCCTGTAATTTCTAGAAATGTAAATGTAACATATTTCAAAATATAATATATATAGACACCTTTTGACAAGTGATGTTATCCCAAGCGTTACAGGAACTCTATTATAGTTATAAAGTTAGTTGCGGATCCTTTACAGGACGTTGCAGAACCAACCCCAGCATTTTTTTGGCTGTTGTGGTTTTCCTAGAAGCTGAAGTATTTTGGTCATAAAAAGCGCCACGACGGACTATAAAAAAGTATAGCAGAAGACATGGTACCAGGAAGGAGGGGCAGGGGCCGACCGACACGAACAATGGCACAGGATATAAGTGACTCCTTGAGTATGAAAGTACATGAGGCGGGAGAACTTGCGGGAGAACTGGCGAGAAAACGAATTTCTTTCAGGCAGACTGTGATGAGACGTTCTGCAAAGGACCTGCTACATGATGATGATGGTTTTCCTAGGCAAGTTTACGTCCAGTAGTTTGCCACTGCCTCTGGACGGTCGGCTTCTCGATACCACTGTCGAAACCAACGCAACGCGCAAGGCCTGCAGTGGGGATCGAACCCGGCATCCCGGCATTACAAAGCGCGCTCGTAACGCCTAAGCCACAGACACCGACACCCTAATAGGAGCAAAAAATAACTTTGTAACCCTTTGTTTACTGTGGAGGAGAGGGGGGGGGGGGGCAGATTGTATATTTAACACAGATGCCGACACATGTCTAGAAAAATTCAACGGAAGTAATTACAGACAGTGAGGTTATCGGAAAAGAAGATGGCGTGGAACGAACTACGAGATAGTAAAGACTGACAACTTCACAGAAAACATATTAAGGGCCTATGATACAATGTGGTAAAGAAAGGAGAAGAGGTTACCAGAAAGGGAAGAGCGAAGACCAGAAGAAGGAAGAGAATAAAACTAAGGAGGAGGAAAAGAAGAAACCAAGTGCACGAGCAATCTGGGCAACGATTTGTGTTCGAGACAATACGCATGTTCCTAAGGTCATAACAATTTCCACACAGCATTGCTATGGCATGGTAATTAACTTCCGTGGTTCAGCAGCTGTGTAAATATAACGTGCAATGCCATATTGTGCAGCGAGAACTAGCCATATGAATGCGTGCATGTGGGTGTGCGCACACTGTGTGCGCGCGCGTGTGTGTGTATGTGTGTCTGCGCGCGGGCACGTATGTATTATCCGCAAAGTTTTTGATCACTTTGTATGTAAAGACATCTTTATAAGAGCCGATGTGTTTTACCGGAACTGTAATTTCAGAAATATCATCAGAAATAACTTTCACAAGTACTGTAATACATTGTTTACTCTTCTTCTTCTGCCTTTCCATCCCCCAATGGAGCATAGGCCCTCAACCAACTCACGCCAAGTCGTTCTATCCTTCGCCATTGCATAGAGCTCTCCCCATGTCCTCCCAATCTTTCTAACCTCATTCTCGAGCTCTCTTCTCCGTGTGTTTTTTGGCCTTCCTGTATTCCTATGCCCCTGTAGGTTCCAATGCAAAGACATTATAGTTATGCTGTTCTCCTGTTTTCTCAGTGTGTGCCCTATCCAACGCCAGCGTCTTTTCCTCACCTCCTGATCCACTGGAGCCTGTTTAGTTCTCTCCCAAAGTTCTACATTAGTTATTCTATCATATCATTTTATTCCCTCTATTCTGCGCAGGCACCAGTTAATGAATGTCTGTAATTTATTAGTAATTGCCTTGGTTGTTCTCCATTTTCCGCCCCATACAATAGTATTGATTTGACATTAGAATAAAAAATTTTTAGCTTTGTATTTCTTTTAATTTCTTTTGACCTCCACAAATTCCCTAGTGCTATGAAAGTCCCTCTTGCCTTTTGTATTCTTATTTTAATATCTCTATGTTCCTCCATCTTTATCTACATTACTGCCTAAATAGGTGTACGACTCCACGTCTTGGAGTGGGGTGCCATTAAGAGAAACCACATTACTATTTGCCTGATTTATTCTCATTATCTTTGTCTTTCCTTTATGGATTTTCAGACCAAGCTGCTGTGATCTCGCATTAAGTATATTTAATTTATCTTGCATCTGATTCCATGAATGGGACAGAAGAGCAATATCATCAGCGAAGTCCAGATCATCAAGCTGTTTTGTAGGGGTCCACTGAATTCCATTCTTGTTGTTAGCAGTTACTGTTTTCATAGTCCAGTCTATAGCCAGTAAAAATAAGAGAGGCGACAAAAGACATCCCTGTCGCACACCTGTTTTTATTTCAAATGCATCTGTTAGCTTTCCCTCATGAAGAACTCGACATTTCATGTCTTTATATGTTGCCTTTACTAAGTTGATAATTTTCTGTGGGATTCCATAGTGCCCCATCAATTTCCAGAGAGATTCCCTATCAATGCTGTCAAATGCTTTTTCATAGTCTATAAATCCAATGTAAAGTGGTGAGTTCAGTTCAATGCTTTGCTCTATTATAATACGTAATGTGGCTATCTGATCAGTACAGGATCTGTTTGACCGAAAACCTGCCTGCTCATCTCTTAGAATTTTATCAATATCATCTTTTAATCTTTCCAAAATAATTCTACTTAATATTTTCCCAGGAACTGACAGCAACATAATTCCTCTATAGTTTTCACACTCCTGTAGATCACCTTTTTTTTGGGCAGTTTCACAAGATATCCTTCTCTCAAGTCTGCTGGTATTTCTTCGGTCTCCCAGACTTTACTGAATAATCTATGTAGCAATTCTGTTGATGTGTTTATGTTGGTCCTGATGGCTTCAGCTGGGATACCATCTGGGCCTGACGCCTTTCCTTCCTACTAGTACAATAATATTACAACTTTCTATGACATAATATAAAAAATAACTTTCATGGGTGCAATAATAATGCAAATTTCCGTAATAAAACAATTTTCACCGGCACTGCAATAAAACGGCTATCACCATCACCGGTAATCTAGGTAATGGCTTTTATTTTTTAATTTAATCGTGTACCAGTACTGTAATAAAACAACTGTTACGAGTAGTGTTACACAACTCCGATTTCTGTAATAAAACACTTTCACTAGAAATTTCATAAAACAACTTCCACTTGTATTATAATAGAACGAACGCTGCCTGAGATCATTTCACAAGCTATTCATGGTACAATAAAATACTACTGTCACAAGTACGTTAGTTAAAAAATGTTTTACTTGTACAATAATAAAACTACTTTCACAAGTACTTTAATAAAATAACTTTCCCGATCACTATAATATAACAACTTTTTATGGTCACTACAACTCTCCGATTTCTGTAATAAAACAAACACAACCACGGATAAAACTTCCTGGCAAACAAAGTGCACAGTTCACATGCACAGTCTGTCTTGGCAGAAAATGGATAGAAACACCGATCCACCAAAAGGAAGTAATATTATCTTAATTCTGATTCCGCTGGTGGCTTTTACTGTAAGGAGAAAATTACGAAGTGTTTATAAGAACGCGTGATATTTTATAACAGCGAGCATATTTATATAATAAATAAAACTAACAGAGAGCTTTGCGCTGATTTCAACAATGGTATATTTGCCTGCCTACAGTTTTGTAAGCAATGGCTACTAAGGTTAGTTGTGTATCCTTTACAGGACGTTGCAGAACCAACCCTAGCAGCCCCTGGCTGTTGTGTGGTTTCACTAGGCAAATTTACGTCCAGTCGTTTGCCATTGCATCCTGGACGGTCAGCTCCTTGATACCACTGTCGAAACCAACACAAGGCGCATGGCCCGCAGCTGGGATCGAACACGGAATCCCGGCATTACGAAGCGTTCACATCGACTTAATCACAGAGCCGACGCAAATGACAACTACAGAATGTAAAACTGGTTAGTAGAATAAACTTGTTAAAAAAAAATCCTGAGATTGGCTCCACAACGTCACGTGAAAAATAATGCGCAACGAAAATTAACTAATAACATGTGTGAATGTCAAAGTAGTAGCTTGGTATTCCGAATCCTTGCAGAGCAATAACATGTTTGAGGATTAATGTCAAGCGCTACGAATACGGACGCAATGTGTCCTCGGACAGATCAATAACGAGTATCTTCTGGGCAAAGACAAAGTACACACTTGGAGGAATAGAAAGCGAGGGTAGTGGAGGCGAGGTGTCTGCTGTGGTATTAATGAGGCCGAATGCGCGTAGAATGCGATTAAATGGCCAGGCCGTTTGACTGGCACTATGAAAGTCATGGTTTCGATTCACATACCTATTTTTCATTCACTGGAGTTAAAGAGTTCGTGTTCAGTTGTATGTTACCGACAGGCGACTAGCCGTCCGTAGAGAGATCCAGACATATTGGATAACCGCATGCAGTGAAGTCGAACATCTCTACTTTAACTCCAGCTAAGTCACAATGAATTTCTGTTGGTCAACGCCTCAAGATACAGCGTGTATGTTTACTGCCAGTAGACTTTGAAATCACTTATCTGCACATTGTAACTACATTTTAGTGTTACGTCTTCTCACGCCATGAAGCCATTAGTTTAGAGCAGGGCTATTCAACTGGCGGGCCCACCGGCCAAATCTGGCCCGCACAGGACTAGTAAGTGGCCCGGGGATCAATGCCAGCAGAAAAGCGGTAATGATCTCTTTATGGTGCGACTTGAACCTCTGGTCCCTGAATGTCTCATTTTCAACATTTTGGCCACTGAGTCAACTTAACTGGGTGCTTTCCCAATATCTCCCCCCAGGATGACATCACGGAACAGTCCAATATTTTCTAGGGTGGTAAGAGCGGGTTTCATGGCTTTCTGATGCTTTTCACTACCACAAAACATATAGAACTAGGCATAACCCCAATCCACCTACGTCCCAGAGAGAGAGAGAGAG